TCGGCCCGCCGATGTCGTCGGTGCTGAACGCGATTGTGAACGACGCGTCCGCCGGTGAATTTGTTCGGGTCCAGGATATTCTCTACGGAGAATGCCAGGCATCGTTTGTTCGCCTGTACGGTGCTGGCAGTCGTGGTGATGCTGCCGGTCGACGTGCCCGTCGTTCGGGCTGCGTTTCCGGATGTACAGACAGTCATCACCGTGGAAGCAGCGGCGGCATGCGCGGATATGTACACAGGAGCCCCGTGGCCAGTGGTTTGTCCGCCAGTCTGAACACACGAGAAAGGATGCACGCCTCGATTCGCGAACGGGTTAAGGAACTGATCGGATCCGCCGCCCCTGGACGAAGGAGCTGTTAAATCTACCGGGCTACTGGGATTGCTTTCGTCCACTTCGTCTCGACAAACGTCCACTTCTACTTCCTCGTCCTCCTGATAGCTTCCGTTTCTATTCCCAGGATGCACTTCCTCTTCCTCTTCCTCTTGTTCCTCGTCGTCTTCTTCGTCCTCGACGATATTTCTCCTGACGGAAACGTTCCTCTCGTGTTCCCCGTCTTCCTCTTCCTCCTCGTCCTGCTCTTCTTCTTCCTCGACTTCGGTGTCTATCCTTTTCTCCCTGGTCGATGACGCGTCCATCTCGTGGAACTGATCCTTGTCGACGGATCGCAGGATCGGCGAGGTCGACGGCGAGTGTTGCTGACGCACGTTGTCGTAGTGCACAAAAGGCTCGCTGGTGCGTACGTGGAGCAACACGTGCCTCCTTTCTTGAGGCGGTAGCGAGAGCCCGGCACGCATATCCGCTTCCTCCCGCGGTAGGACGACCGGTCCTAAAGGCGACACGGTCCTGCCTTCCTGCATCCTCCACATAACCCTCGCGGTTATTCCTCTTTACCTCACCTCTCGATCCTCCATTCCGTCTCGTTGCTAGAAAACACTTGTCCGGCGCTTGTTTACGTGCACATCCGCGTCGATCTTTCAAACAGCGTGCCACATCCTGATTCTTCGAGGCATCACTTACACCGACGACGATAATATCACATTCTACTTTCCCAGGTGGATCATCACTAATTCCTCAACTGTCGTTTTACACACCGTTCCCGATCCTTACACGAAATACACCGACGGCTCCGGTTAGTATCACGCCTCGAGTTTGTTCACCGAACTGGCCCGCGCACCGCGAGGGACAACCAACGACGTTCACGGATGACCGTGTGGGAGCGAAAAAAGAGGTATCGTCGCGCCGGGGGTCCAAGCGATCAGCGTGGTCGGTCGCGCGATTAGCAGTGTCTTTGGTAGGCAAAAGCCGCACGCGTCCCGTAAAATCTGCTCTCGGGACTTCCACGTAGAGCCATGGTGGCTGAATAGGTGGTATATCGGCGTATTATTAGTAGCGAAGAACCGTCGTAGGAACGTCGTCGCAGCGGAAAGCAACGAACCCTCTGGTGGGGTGTTGTTCCGCCTCGAATAGGCGTGTCCAACCCCTGCTGGCTTACCAGAGTATTCCGGTATGGTTCGAGGGGCGTGCACGTCTGCGTTCCGCGGGGGTTGCGCGCACACACGTGCTACCCCTTGTTCGTGGTGGGTACCACGAGCGATCAGTGTTGGTTCGTATGTGTGTGTTGTGTGGGTGTGCGCATACTTGTGTTGGTTCACGTGCGCGCGAACGTACACGAATACGAAGACGTACTCAGACATCGGCATCGGGACTGAATGGATGGGCACGAACACGAAACGGAGCCGCGTGCAGACGTTTCGCGGCCCCACGAGCGAGCTTTCGCCAGATACTCGGGTATGTACACACAGAGTCTACCTTTCCTCCCTCTCCTAACGCTGTCGATGGAGGAACGCTTTTCCCTCCACGCACGTTGCCATCGTTCAACGTTTCCCGGAGAATGTGTGTGGAGGAGTTGCACGCTTTACTCGCTCTCGGTATTCGTGATCGTGAAACGCTGCCGGGTTTGTCGATGATCTTGGTGTGTTCGCCGGCGGGGGCGGGGCG